TATATTAATTAATACCTAAAAAGCGCAAGGTGCCTCCTCTTTTCAAGATCGATCTCGAAATGGTAATGGGTGGTTTGAAAATAACTGATTCACTGTGGTTGTTGTTGTTGTTTTACCGTCGGAAAAATTACTAACGCATAAACAGCTGGCAATTTGCAATATTTAAAAACTTCCTTGCTTAAAAGGAAGAATCAAAGTGAGTTACTTTCAAAAAAGGGTCTTCCCCTGAATTTTTCTGCCTACCTTACTAAAGCTTTTAGAGTGTGTTGTGATGGTGAGCCCTGTAAATTTTCTTGCTGGCACATGCGGAAAACCACTTTTCAGTGGAATTGTATGAGAGCTGACTGGCCGGTATGCAGTTATTAAAACCGAGCACTGAGTCTAGTTCTGTTTATTGCCTCTTTAAAAATTGGTCTCTCTGTGTTTTGCAGGAAATATTTCGTTAGTTCTTGCATACACTTAGAAGCTATCACTGTACCATCTGACTGCTGCTTTGAAGGAATTCATTGCGACTCATTTTACTAAGAACACTCATACTGCATTTCAAGGACTGCACGGATATGCGATAAGCATGAGCGCCTTTTACTTTCAAAGGCTATTCCAAGGACTCTAAACAAATTGTTGTCTTCTGCCCATCTGATTTTCAGCGAATAAATCGGTGAGCGTTTTCCAGACTTCCTTCCTTCACTAGCTCCAGTAAACACAGTTGTCAGTTACTTATTTACTCGCTTTGCGTAAGTATGGTAAACAGATCCCATTCAATTGGCGCCAAGTAGGGAAGTCGGAGGAGGACTGCTTTTGACAGCGAGACAATCCTTGTACTATTCCTTCATCCGTTTCGATGGCAAATTAGTACAGGCACGTCTCAAGGAGCAAAACTCGCCATCAAACTTACTCAAGTAAGCAAGCTCCTGAAAAGAGTCATCAACAATTTTGCTAGTGGGTGGCTAAACTTAGCACGTGTTACTTCATCTCTACAGGAAATGAGTATAGAAGAGGTTTTGATTCCAACTTTTAATTTTTCTTCGGTGTGATACTTTTGATACTTGTCTTTGGTCTAATATTCACGAAAAATTCCGTATACCTATATTATACAAATGTTCTCATATAATACACAAGCGCTTCAATAGCACCATGATTTAAAATTTTTGCTGTTCATAACAGCCAAAAAATCCAATAAGAATAAAAATTAAGAAAAACTTTTTTGAGTCGATTTGCGGATTTTCACTGACATTTATCAGTTCCATAAGATTTAAAACTGTTTTACGGGATGATCCTTTAGCTTTCTGACAAGTACATGCTCAGAAATACAGGTTTCAATGAAATGTATGAGTTTTTCTTCATTTGCTTGATACAAAATGTGATAACAGAATCTTGGGATCTGCCGGTGAGAAGGCCCCACTTACATGCTTCACCACTTTTCATGCACCTCTTTAACAAATCAGTGAGATTCACTTTTATGTTTAGATTTACTGAGGCTTTAAAATGCACTACTCTTTTCTATCTTGACCACCAGTTTTAATCTTAAGCCAGGCCTTTTTAAACCCATTCTTGAATCTTTTTGGTGGCATACTTTGTTATTCAGCATCAGAAACAAATATTTCAAGTAATTATCAAGTTGATACTGACCATTAGGTTTTCGTTCACGGGGAGATAGTAGTGTGCCACTTTCTGGAGATGTTTAAAGATGTTGTGTGTATTGGACAGATTGAATATTGTGGTGGAAGGACAGAAAAATTGGTCCGATTAAAAAATGCATGGAAATAATGCAAAAAGTCATAAATTACTGTACTACTGCATCTAGTACTGCGTACAAAGTTGAAATCGTACGCCACGGTCTGTTCAGTGTGTACAGTTCGTCTGAGAAACACGACTAGACAAATATTAGCATATATTTTCGAGTACATATTCAAATTCATTCAATTGAGATGCGATATGACAATTATTGGTCGCAAAAAATGACAGTCAGTGAAACTGATTACTTCTAGAAGGGGGTCTGATACGCTCGAATACGCCCGTTTCCGGATTGATTTGCACTCCACGGCGCTCTGCTAACTGTGATCTGCGTGTCGTCGGTCGCCAGCCCTCGTACGGTGCTTCAACAACGCTGATGCCCGGTGGTGCAGGTTTTGCGATTGGATTTCTCCAGTGCGTTGGTGACATAGGCGTAGGTATGGTACGGCCGTGCATTCTCCTTGGGACACGCGGCATAGATCTACTTCGAAGCCACGTTTTCGGCTGTGTGAGACGGAAAGGTTTCTCATAGATGAATTCCCATACTGGACTCGGTGAGCGCAGATTGCGAAAACCGGTATACCATGGGCCTCCTGGTGTTTGTTGTGCGCATACCTGCTTTATTGTATAATTGCTGTTCGCTGTCTGATCCCATACCGTGTACTAGAATTTTTTTTAAAATCATTTTTGTTTCCACGCCATATTTTCATTTCAAAGTGTTGCTGTCTAAATATTACTTTTTCCGTCAGCGCCCTTTGAGAATGAACTTTATTCCAGCAGTGCCAAAAAGTAAATGTATAAAAAATAAGTACAGGCTGAATGTCGGAGCCGCGTACTATGAGCGCCACTCTTTCGCGATTCCCGGCACCGTATAATTCGCGGAGAGCTGTTCGCAGTGCCCACCGTGGCAGAATCACGACCATCTGCAATACAGACTCATCGAACTGATTTTGTCAGATAAAAATTCGTCACAAGTGCTTACAAATGGTTTGCGGTGTTGCCGACGTTGCTCAAACTAGCCGCTTCTGACGAAATGCATTCAGAAGGATATGTTTTAGAAAAATTTAGCAAAAAAATTTGGAATAGCCGGCTTCATTTTCAACTAACACCCTTCTTTCTCATTTCCCGGATTAGAAAATCGAATAATTGTAAATGGAATAACTGACGGCTTTCTTTTCATGTCTACCTTCCCTTTGCATTATTATATATGCATAATCAGTCGCACAGTGTGGGAGTTTAGCGCTGGCTCTGAAAAGCAAATAAACTTCAAGCGAATAGTTAGCCTGATCATTTTTTCATGAATGTTTAGAGCATTTTAGGACGCTCGTGGCTACTTACTTTTGTCTTTTCTGCCCTCGATCCCCGTCACATCCACTAATGTTTGTACAGCGTCCGTCTACAATTCGATGGCGGATTTGACGTAATTCAGCATATTCCCGGCAACCCATCCCAGTTGGTGTTTCTTACCTCCATCGCATGTATATGCTTTATTATAAGAACTTCCTTCCGTTGCTTAGAAGGAACTACTTGATAAGTAGAAAAGCCTCCCTTTTTTCAGACGAAAAGCTGCCTCGTCATAAAAGACATCAATTTATCCAGACTGTTTGTTTAATCCAGCTTTCAGACACCTCTCCAAATGGACTGCAAGCTCGCTCTCCACTCATCCTCATCGCTTGCAATTTATCAGTTAGCAACTTGATGATAAACCAACCTACTGGCTGCGGAAAATAAAAAAATGAAATCAAGTCGTTGTGATCAGCCTTTTTATACATTCTTGCGCATTTATGTAAGTAAGAAATTGCATACTGCAACGGACCATGGTGTGTGTGTCTGTCCGAATATTTCAACTCGGCAACCACGAGAGCTTTAATGCTAAAATTTTGTCAGTGGGTTCCCCGGCTAAGTAATAGTCCAGGAAAGCAGCACTAACTTTCTCTTACAGCTGAGTCTCACGTGTGGGCATATGAAGTTTTTAGCAGGGAATTGCTAATTTGGTAACCAGAACAGCTAAAGAACTAAAATTTCAAGGCAGTGTTCCTTACCCAAGTAAAACTCAAAGATTTCAAATTCGCTTTCTAAACACGCTTGATTTCCATGCACGGACGCGTGAA